AAGTTTGGGTCAGTCACAGTGGTCAGGTATTCTGCCACTGTGTACTCTCTGTTTAGAGCCAAATAGCATTCTAATTTGCTCAGTTTTTTTGTTAATTCTTTCCAATGTGTCAAGTAATTCTCTTTTTGTTTTCTCATAATTTGGTTGTGTCTAATTGTGTTGTTGTTGTTGTCCTGGGGGTCTGTTTGTGTTTGTGAACAGAGCCCCAGGACCAGCTTACTTAGACTCTTCTCCAAGTTCATCTCTCTGTAGGTGATGGCTTTGTTATGGAAGGTTTAAGAATCGCTTCCTTTTAAGTGGTTATATATTTTAACGGCTCTTTTCTGGATTTTGATCATTCGCGGGTATCAGCCTAATTCTGCTCTGCATGCATTATTTTGTGTTTTTCGTTGTACACTGAGGATATTTTTGCAGAATTCTCAATTTGCTGTTTGTCCCATTTTGAGAACTTTTGGTTGGTGAGCGGATCCCAGACCTCACAACCATAAAGGGTTCTATAACTGATTCAAGTATTTTTAGCCAGTTCCTAATTGGTATGTCAAATGTTATGTTCCTTTTGATGGCATAGAAGGACCTTCTTGCCTTGTCTCTCAGATCATTCACAGCTTTGTGGAAGTTACATGTGGCGCTGATGTTAAGGCCGAGGTATGTATAGTTTTTTGTGTGCTCTAGGGCAACGGTGTCTAGATGGAATTTATATTTGTGGTCCTGGCAACTGGACCTTTTTTGGAACACCATTATCTCTACCTCCCCCTCAATAGCAGCAGCTCCGGACTCAGTGCTGACTCTCTCTACCGTGCCTTGCAAAAGTATTCATTCCGAGTGTCAGCTGTTCGGCTCGTTATCTCTGATTGGGAGCCATATTTAAGATGTAGGTTTTCTTGTGTTAGTTGTGGGTTATTGTTCCATGTTCCATGTTGTTGTCTTTATTTGGACTTCACGAATCGTCTTTGTTTGTTGTTTTTTTGTATTTACGTGCTTTATATATTAAAGTCATGTTCACTCGCTACGCTGCGCATTGGTCTCATCCTTACGACGTTCGTGACAGAATAACCCACCAAAAGAGGACCAAGCAGCGTAACAAGCGGCAACAGGACCTACCTCCAACGGATTCATGGACATGGGAGGAGATACGGGCTGGAAAGGGTCCTTGGCCACAAATGGAGGAATATCACCGCCCTCGTGAAGAGCTGGAGGCGGCTGCAGCCGAGAGGAGGTGGTACGAGGAGGCAGCGCGGAGTCAAGGCTGGAAGCCCGTGGTTACTCCCCAAAAAATTTTTGGGGGGGGGCACATGGCTTGGGCGCCTGGGCAGCAGGAGGCTGCCACAGGTAGAGCTGGAGAGAAGGCATTCGGATTACGGGAGCCATTGGCGAGTGGAAAGGGGGAAGTTGTTGTGGCACGGCATGAGAGACTGAAGTGTGTTCCCAGTCTGGTCCGGTCCGTTCTTGATCCCCAGTTAAGGCCAGTGGTGGGTGTTCCCGGTACGGGCCGGTCTGTTCCTACTCCACGCACCAGGTCCACGATGTGCGTCGCCAGCCGGCCAGAGTCTGCCGTCTGTCCTAGGACGTCTGAACTGCCCGTCTGCCAAGCGCTGCATAAGCCGCCCGTCTGTACTGAGCCTGCAAAGCTGTCCGTCTGCCATGAGCCTGCAGAGCCGTCCGCCAGACAGAATCAGACACCTGCTATGGAATCAGCAGGAGCCGGCGCAGCCCATACTAGACTGGAAGCTCAGGTTCGGGACCAGAAAGAGCAGATCCTGCAGATGGGAGCCGCCCTGCTGGAGGTGATGACTGCTATCCGAGGCTGGGGTCCGCCTCCACCGCCAGCCTCCCAGCCAGCACCATCAGCCAGCCATGAGCAGCCAGATCTGTCAACCAGCCATGAGCAGCCAGACCCGTCAGCCAGCCATGAGCAGCCAGACCCGTCAGCCAGCCATGAGCAACCAGATCCGTCAGCCAGCCATGAGCAGCCAGATCCGTCAGCCAGCCATGAGCAGCCAGATCCGTCAGCCAGCCATGAGCAGCCAGACCCGTCAGCCAGCCATGAGCAGCCAGGTCCGTCAGCCAGCCATGAGCAGCCAGATCCGTCAGTCAGCCATGAGCAGCCAGATCCGTCAGTCAGCCATGAGCAGCCAGATCTGTCAGCCAGCCATGAGCAGCCAGACCCGTCAGCCAGCCATGAGCAGCCAGATCCGTCAGCCAGCCATGAGCAGCCAGACCCGTCAGCCAGCCATGAGCAGCCAGACCCGTCAGCCAGCCATGAGCAGCCAGATCCGTCAGCCAGCCATGAGCAGCCAGATCCGTCAGCCAGCCATGAGCAGCCAGATCCGTCAGTCAGCCATGAGCAGCCAGATCCGTCGGCCAGCCAGGATCCGCCAGAGCCGTCCAGCCAGGATCCGCCAGAGCCGGTCAGCCCGGATTCGCCAGAGCCGTCCCGCCAGGATCCGCCAGAGCCGTCCAGCCAGGATCAGCCAGAGCCGGCCAGCCAGGATCCGCCAGAGCCGGTCAGCCCGGATCCGCCAGAGCCGTCCCGCCAGGATCCGCCAGAGCCGTCCAGCCTGGATCCGCCAGAGCCGTCCAGCCTGGATCCGCCAGAGCCGTCCCGCCAGGATCCGCCAGAGCCGTCCAGCCTGGATCCGCCAGAGCCGTCCCGCCAGGATCCGCCAGAGTCGTCCCGCCAGGATCCGCCAGAGCCGTCCCGCCAGGATCCGCCAGAGCCAGCCAGCCAGGATCCGCCATATAGTCAGGTACTGCCCCTTAGCCCGGTGCTGCCCCTTAGTCCTGTACTGCCCTTCAGCCCGGTGCTGCCCCTTAGTCCGGTGCTGCCCCTGAGTCCGGTGCCGCCCCTTAGCCCGGTGCTGACCTTTAGTCCGGTACTGCCCCGTAGTCCGGTGCTGCCCCTTGTCCCGGTGCTGCCCCTTATCCCGGTGCTGCCCCTTAGTCCGGTGCTGCCCCTTAGTCCGGTACTGTCCCGTAGTCAGGTGCCGCCCCTTAATCCAGTGGGGTTGAGTTGGGGGGTGGTCATGAGGAAGGGAGGACGGAAGCGGAGAGTGACTAAGGTGGGATGGGGACCACGACCAGAAGCAGAACCGCCACCGTGGACAGACGCCCACCCAGACCCTCCCCTAGACTGTATGCTGGTGCGCCCGGAGTTCGCACCTTTAGGGGGGGGGGTACTGTCACACTCTGGCTCCAGGACTTGTGTATTTGAGCCAGGGTGTATGTTGTTTGTTGGGTTTTGGGTGTATTTTATGTTTGCAGGTCTGTCACGTTTATTTCTAGGTGAGGAGTTCTGTTGTGTCTATTTCTAGGTTGGTGTTGTCCTTGGCGTTTTTTCCTATTTTGTTGCATTACAACCTGTAATTTAACTGGATTTTTATTTGGATTTCATGTCATGGATATATACAAAATAGTCCAAATTGGTGAAGTGAAATTAAAAAAGTAACTTGTTTCAAAAAATTCTAAAAAATTAATAACGGAAAAGTGGTGCGTGCATATGTATTCACCTCCTTTGCTATGAAGCCCCTAAATAAGATCTGGTGCAACCAATTACCTCCAGAAGTCACATAATTAGTTAAATAAAGTCCACCTGTGTGCAATCTAAGTGTCACATGATCTGTCACATGATCTCAGAATATATACACCTGTTCTGAAAGCCCCGAGAGTGCAACACCACTAAGCAAGGGACACCACCAAGCAAGCGGTACCATGAAGACCAAGGAGCTCTCCAAACAGGGCAGGGACAAAGGTGGAGAAGTACAGATCAGGGTTGGGTTATAAACAAATATCAGAAACTTTGAACATCCCACAGAACACCATTAAATCCATTATTAAAAAATGGAAAGAATATGGCACCACAACAAACCTGCCAAGAGAGTGCCGCCCACCAAAACTCACGGACCAGGCAAGGAGGACATTAATCAGAGAGTCAACAAAGAGACCAAAGATAACCCTGAAGGAGCTGCAAAGCTCCACAGCGGAGATTGGAGTATGTGTCCATAGTACCACTTTAAGCTGTACACTCCACAGAGCTGGGCTTTATGGAAGAGTGACCAGAAAAAAGCCATTGCTTAACGATAATAAGCAAACATGTTTGGTGTTCGCCAAAAGGCATGTGGGAGACTCCCCAAACATATGGAAGAAGGTACTCTGGTCAGATAAGACTAAAATTGAGCTTTTTGGCCATCAAGGAAAACGCTATGTCTGGCGCAAACCCAACACCTCTCATCACCCCGAGAACACCATCCCCACAGTGAAGCATGGTGGTGGCAGCATCATGCTGTGGGGATGTTTTTTATCAGCAGGGACTGGGAAACTGGTCAGAATTGAAGGAATGATGGATGGCGCTAAATACAGGGAAATTCTTGAGGGAAACCTGTTTCAGTCTTCCAGAGATTTGAGACTGAGACGGAGGTTCACCTTCCAGCAGGACAATGACCCCTAAGCATACTGCTAAAGCAACACTCGAGTGGTTTAAGGGGAAACATTTAAATGTCTTGGAATGGCCTAGTCAAAACCCAGACCTCAATCCAATTGAGAATTTGTGGTATGACTTAAAGATTGCTGCACACCAGCGGAACCCATCAAACTTGAAGGAGCTAGAGCTGTTTTGCCTTGAAGAATGGGCAAAAATCCCAGTGGCTAGATGTGCCAAGCTTATAGAGACATACCCCAAGAGACTTGCAGCTGTAATTGATGCAAAAATTGGCTCTACAAAGTATTGACTTTGGCGGGGGTGAATAGTTATGTACGCTCAAGTTTTCTGTTTTTTTGTCGTATTTCTTGTTTGTTTCACACAAAAAAGTATTTTGCATCTTCAAAGTGGTAGGCATGTTGTGTAAATCAAATTATACAAACCCCCCAAAAATCCATTTAAATTCCAGGTTGTAAGGCAACAAAATAGGAAAAATGCCAAGGGGGGTGAATACTTTCGCAAGCCACTTTACCTCCCCCTCAATAGAAGCAGCTCTGGACTCAGTGCTGACTCTCTCTACCTCCCCTCAGTAGCAGCAGCTCTGGACTCTACAGTGGCATACCTCCATTAGAGTTTCATCCTGCTCGTCAAAGGGTTTCCCATCTTTCCTGTTGTAGAAGGTGGCTACTGCGACTATTTCCTCTTTCTTATTCACAATGGGGAGGGACAGGACGTTCTTAATGATCCAGCCGGAGCTATCCACGGGCCCTTTCTGAACAGGACAAGGAAACAGGAACCACCTGACGTCAATGACTTTGCAATAGGTTCATAGCATTACAAACACAATATTTGTTGACTTAAAACCTGCCGTACTTGCCTTTGAATGTGTTAGTTCACAGTAATGCATGACTTGACTACTAATATTTACAGTACTTTGTATGGGTAAGTCTTTGCCTTAGTGTTGGAAATAGCAGGATTAATCTATTTAAATTGTGTTTAGGCCTGTCTACTATAATGAAAGTCCACTTGGCCACAGGACAATAGCCCCTTCAGTAGCAGTTGTTAAATTTGTGCATTCAACAGCACTGAGCTAATCATGGAGAACTGATCTTACTTGGAAGCTGAAGAAGTCATCTTGTGCTGCGTTCATAATGTTACAGATCTGGAGGGGAGAAGAGGGAAGAGGGAGGAGAGGATGATCACGCTCGCTCAGATGGAAAAGCACTGCATGATTAGTTACGATGTCCACAAAATTGCAATTATCCATCATTTCAGTGCAAGAGCACATTTAATTTCCAGGCTGTGTGTGTTTGACAGCTGCGTATTAAACTCTAATGGCTTTCTGGTTGTGTGCTGCCCATGGATACCACGTTCAGGGAGGGGATGACATGGGCTGCATACAAAATGGCACCCTATAGTCCCCATGGGCCCTGGTCAAAAGTAGTGAGCTATATAGTGAAAAGGGTGCCATTTCAGACGCATTCATCCTTCAGTAAGTAAGGGAAGGCTTCCCAGCTCACCAGTCCCTCCTTAGCCACGTAGGTGGGCAGGCCACTGGCCAGAGCCCAGTGGTCCGGAGCAGGGTTGCTGACAAGGACAGGGGGAGATGGAGATTAGGATTTTATACTATTACTTCCAAGGAATTAAGTTTATAGATGTGTCATTTCAAAAAGTACCAAATCAAATGCAGTAATGCATGCACCTAAATGTTCCTGTATAATATAAGGGTGTAAAAGCAGCACATACATATGATAAGATAATATACCGGTATATAATTCAATTTTCAATTGATGAAATGACTCACGGTATAACTTTGATCTCCTCTTTTCCATGTAAAATGTAGTCAATCACTTTGTAGAAGTTTATTTCCTGGAGAGAAATGAGTTACATGTAATTAGAATCAGATTGAATACTGATAATGTATCAAATTACATATATTACCATTATTCATGTTTGAGTTGGCTCAGATCTGTCCAGGTCATTTGACTGTTGCTTGTTAAGTCACCAGTCACTCACTCTGCCATCAGGAGTCTTGGGTCCATCGTATTGAGGCACCTCTCCCATCAGCACAGGCCAAAGGTCAAAGAATTCCTGCAACACACAGGGTTATTTAATTTAATCCCTCTCAAATACAAGGGGAACATATTAACATTCAACATCTTGAATTAAACATAACAAAAGGTCAACTGAACATGACTAGATAATGGTGAGTGGTTCCTGAACATTAGCATGCTGATGCTTTTAGCAGGTTGAGATTCATGTCCGAACTCACCTTAGTCTTGGTCATGTCCAGGAGGCCAACAGAGTAACGTTCACAGTTAAGGAACTCCCTGATGGTATAGAGGGCCTTGTGGAACTGTCTCTCAATGTCTGTCATCTCCTCAAACACTTTGCTGGCAGACCAGAGCAGGACCTAGAGGGTGGGAGATGTCAGAGACAGCACAGTCATGGCAGGGAAAAATATGTCATTTCTGAAATACAAGCAGGCCTCATCGTCAATAAACTCATCAATAAAATCTGGAGGTCTTACCTGTCCTCTTCTGGTCTCACAGTTGTGAAGGTAGCTCAGATGGAACACTCTTAGGATCAGGTTGGCAAAGTTGAGATACTTCAACAGAGTCTGTTGCAGAAACATCTACATTCAGTATTACTGAGGGGAGAGGTTAGGGTTGTAGGTTAGAGGTTAGGGAGAGGTTACCTCCTCATCCTGCTTAGTGAAGTGTGGAGCTCCAATCTTGTTCACAGCCATCATAACAGCCACCATGTCCTTGCCATTCATGATGGGGGTAGCCAGGACACTCTTGGTCTGGTATTCTTGGATCTGGTCCACAAAGTCACTGTAGTGGCTGCTCTGGAGGAGAAACCACAGAAAAGTATTTAGAATTTATAAACAAACATCTGTCAATGTGCTGTAGCTTGTTACATTTAATTGACACTTTTGACCATAAAACCATTGATGAGATCATCTAACTTGCACATCACAGTGAATCCCTAGACAAAAAAAGGTTTTATCTAGAACAAAAAGGGTTCTTCGGTTGTCCCCATAGGAGAACCCTTTGAATTTGAAGAACCCCTTTTGGTTCTAGGTAGAACCCTTTCGGGTTCAAATAATAATTTACGTTTTATGGGACTAAACTTCGGCTGTCCCCTATAGGAGAACCCTTTTTGGTTCCAGGTAGCACCATCTGTGGAAAGGGTTCTCCTATAGGGGACAGCCGAAGTTTAGTCCCATAAAACGTAAATTATTATTTGATTATGTAAAAACTATCTTTCAGAACACTACTAAGGGGAGGGGAACTTTTTCATTGTTAAAAACAGAATATGCTTTTGTGTTGACTGAGTTTCATATTAATCCAGGAATAGATTAATTCACTGCCTATCATATCATCTAACACTAAGAATGGTTTGATCTCTCAGTGTCATTTTGGGCTATTCTTGACTGGAGAATATGTATAATGATTAAAACATGTGGATTAAAGGAGAAAGGACATTACAGGTGAACACTAAATAGAATAAAGGTGAGTTCTCTTGCTATTCCGCTGACTTGGGGAAAATGGCTTTGTGCTATGACCTTTAGAAATAATCCAGGATCGTTCTAATTCAGCTGAGATTAAAGGGCTTTATCCCCTGCAGGCCCAGTAACACCCAGCAGCCCTGCCTGCCTGCATGACCAACCGGCGGGGGAGGGGACTGCCTTGCCATAATCCCACACCACACAGTAATGGTGGCTCTGCCTTTCACTAGGGAAAAGAAAGACCCAGAGCTCGATCCATCCTCTCCCTAATTACCATTTAAAAAATCCTGTCAACTAGATTGATCTGACAGTCTCTGTCAGTGGTTGGACTCTGTAATCCTTGATATCAGTCATGTCTCCCTTTACCACACACTGCTACATATGAGCAGGACTATGATAGGAAACATTTTCTAATCATGATGGTACTTTGGCTGTATTACTCTGTATTATTTTGGTAAAGGATATTTTATCAGTGAGCGTTTGTGGTATTTGGTATAAGGATATTTTATTAGTGAGCGTTTGTGGTATTTGGTATAAGGATATTTTATCAGTGAGTGTTTGTGGTATTTGGTATAAGGATATTTTATCAGTGAGCGTTTGTGGTATTTGGCAAAGGCTATTTTATCAGTGAGCGTTTGTGGTATTTGGTATAAGGATATTTTATCAGTGAACGTTTGTGGTATTTGTTCAAATGAATAACAAGATTAAAGATGTGTCTGTATCACAAGAAAGTCTACTGGATAATAGGAATGTAACTATAATCAAAACGTATGCATGGTTTTATATGAAAACAGCATAAATGTTTTAGTTTTAGGTCAAATAATTTAATACAGGTATTGACAATGATGGCCGTCCACTGAGTTCAAGTTCAAGTTTAATTTGCCACATGCACAAGTACAATGAAATGCTTACCTTGCAAGCCCTACCCAACAGTGAGGATATGGAGTAGAGTGACAAACATGTTAAGTATGAAAATAAGCTTGGCAATCATTTTCAAATGTCAAATGTATTGGCTCCAATAAGATTGAACTGGCGGTATGATCACAAATATGATGGCCTTATGCTGCCCTCTACAGGCAGCAGGATCCTAGGCCTATGTGTCTGAATCTGACTGGAGCTCTACACTCAGTGCTCTCATTTCTTCACTGGAATGGAATTTCATGGAATAAACACGACCTATTGATAAGGTAACACAAACTGGCAGGTAAACTGTAGTGGCCATACCTGTATTGGGAATGTGAACTTTTAAGTGCAAGTTTCTCCACAATGATCTATAGCTTTATATGTTTACCTCTGAGACATCTGGGATGTTGACAGTCTTCTTGGTGGTGGCCACATGGCCCACAATGCCAATGTCCATGGGAAAGACTATCTCACTGTCTGGCTGGACCAGGCACTCCTCCAAGGTGGCGTCCTTGTGCACGTTGAAGAGTCTCGTGGCCAGCTCGGCCGTGCCGTTACGCATCCGGTACATGAACAGGCTCATCTTCTCTGACTGTATCATGAAGCTGAGGTGTTTCATGAAGTTGAAGATAGCCTTCTCCATCTGGATGTTGTCCTGCAGGTCTCTGACCATGTCAAATATGATCTCACTCTCCTCCACCGTGCTCAGCTCGTGGAAGCTGCTGGTGTTCACCTGGGAAGTCTTGTTGTCTTTGAAAAGGTCAGAGATTACCTTCGGGCGGAACTTGGCATCGTAGTACTGCTTGGCGAAGTCAGGGTTGCTGTCCAGAAACTTCTCGGCTACGTCTTTGTCCACGGCTGCCATTTTAGAGTTGCTGTGTGTTTATATGCTATAGCTCCTCAGAGAGCTGTGCTGCTTAGCCCTGTGCTGCTTAGCCCTGTGCTGCTTAGCCCTGTGCTGCTTAGCTACACTGTCGGCAGGTGACTGAGAACAATAGGAATTAGCAGGATTGTTTTAAATGGTCATGTGTGTTGATAAACCTACATCCAATTACACACAGATTATGATGTGTTATTCTCACACGTTGGACTGACATATAGGCCTACCTGGAGTTTGTCTCCTCACTCAACAACCTTTTGTAGGCCTACAGTACTTGTGGACCACAACGGAAATAAGTATTTAGACTTTTGACTTTAATTGTTGAATTATTGAACATTTTGATATATGTATCTGTTGTCCGGTGTAACATTTTATTTATTTGGAATTGTCAAAAAAATATACAAAAATATACAAAACACCTTACAGTAAATACTGTATCTTAAAGTTTCACGAGAATAACCAATAACCTACTGTGCTTTCAGATAAATATTTTATTTACAGATGGGGTAGAAAAATTGTCATGGCGTTAAAACAATAAACAGAGGAGGGGTAATATGATGTGAACTGGTTTAGTGTATCCGCCTCCTGCAGTTGAGCTAATAAATAGTGTTATTACTGAGATGGAGTGTGACTTACCAAACTCTTATGTTCAAATATTTCCCAGAGTGTGAGCTTATATTGTGTGACGTGCTTGCCTAATGAAAAGCTTACAGTAAGCCTTGAGTTTTTACAATATTTGTATGATATACTCCTGCCCCATATTCTCCAATAGTGAGTGTCAGGTGCTGTCTATTCATGTACCAGCCTATCATAAGGAGCTAGTCCATGTGCCAGCCTATCAGGAGGAACTAGTCCATGTACCAGCCTATCAGGAGGAGCTAGTCCATGTGCCAGACTATCAGGAGGAACTAGTCCATATACCAGTCTATCAGGAGGAACTGGAAATTGTATAACACATTTCAGAAATAGAAGCCATTACTTCCATGGGTTGCTTTCAGTGTACTTTGTCGGTTGCAACCTGGTCTCAGAGCATTTAGTATGATTCTTTACTTATTTCCGTGACACTCCATGTAGTATGATATGTTATGTTACGTTAGGTTACATTACATTACATTACATTACATTACATTAGATTACCAATGGAACAGCAGTCGTACAATATAATACGAATTGTAGAACGCATAGTACACTAAGTCTTGATTCCAGCAGTATGCTTTGTCCTGTTTAGTATGATATTGTAGTGGTGGCAGCAGTATGCTTTGACCTGTTTAGTATGATATTGTAGTGGTGGCAGCAGTATGCTTTGACCTGTTTAGTATGATATTGTAGTGGTGGCAGCAGTATGCTTTGTCCTGTTTAGTATGATATTGTAGTGGTGGCAGCAGTATGCTTTGACCTGTTTAGTATGATATTGTAGTGGTGGCAGAAGTATGCTTTGACCTGTTCAGTATGATATTGTAGTGGTGGCAAGCAGTATGCTTTGACCTGTTTAGTATGATATTGTAGTGGTGGCAGCAGTATACTTTGACCTGTTTAGTATGATATTGTAGTGGTGGCAGCAGTATGCTTTGACCTGTTCAGTATGATATTGTAGTGGTGGCAGCAGTATGCTTTGACCTGTTTAGTATGATATTGTAGTGGTGGCAGCAGTATGCTTTGACCTGTGTAGTATGATATTGTAGTGGTGGCAGCAGTATGCTTTGACCTGTTTAGTATGATATTGTAGTGGTGGCAGCAGTATGCTTTGACCTGTTTAGTATATACTGTAATGACGGCAGCTTATTAGAGGATCTGGAGATGTGGCTTGTTGGAGGCGTGGCCTTGTACTCTGCTAATAAAGGTTGAGCTTGTACACATTGTCAGTTCTGCAGTCTTAATGAGACTGACATAAGTGCATGTGATACCAAAGAGCCTACTAAAGTTCCATTGTTAAGACAGCCACTATTTCGTTATATTGGTGTCAGAAGTGAGATAGCTATAAACCCAACCCATGACGAGATGGATGACACCGTGAAGCAGCTGGACGCGGGGGAAGGAGGATGAGCGTCGCCTGGGAGGAACAGGCAAGTCGGCCGTGGATCCTGGAGGGCCCATACCAGGATTGCTTGCTCCTAGCCAGTGGAGGGTTCCCGCTTCACCACACCACACAGTGCCACCTGGAGGAAGGTGCGGTGCCTCGTCGTCCTGCACAGCGGCATGGAGACGGACGTGGACCAGATGGTAGTGGTCAAAGGAAAGAGGTACCCACCCGGACAGTGAAGGATGCCCACTACGGGGGAGTGGAGCCCTGGGAACCCTACCTAGCCCAGTTTCAGCTAGCTGTGTGGCAAAATAGATGAGCTGAAGAGGAAATGGCTGTGCACTTGCCCTGGCCCTGGAGGGGAGTGCATTACAGGCCCTACTAGATCTTAGCTCTGACCAGGGGAGGGACTACACTTCCCTAACCACCACCCTGAAGGACTACACTGCCCTAACCACCACCCTGAAGGACTACACTTCCCTAACCACCACCCTGAAGGACTACACTGCCCTAACTACCACCCTGAGGGACTACACTGCCCTAACTACCACCTTGACGGACTACACTGCCCTACAGTAACTACCATTCTGAGGGACTACACAGCCCTAACTACCACCCTGAGGGACTACATTGCCCTAACTACCACCCTGAGGGACAACACTGTCCTAACTACCAGCATGGGCTCCCGAGTGGCACAGCGGTCTAAGGCACTGTATCTCAGTGCTTGAGGCATCACTACAGACCCCCTGGTTCGATTCCAGGCTGTATCACAACCGGCCGTGATTGGGAGTCCCATAGGGCGGCGCACCGTCATTGGCCGGTGTAGGCCATCATTGTAAATAAGAATTTGTTCTTAACTGACTTGCCTAATTAAAAATAAAAAATAAAAAAAATGAGGTAGAAGCTAGCAGGTCGCAAGAGAAATGGAGGTGAGAGCCTTGGCGCACTGGCTGCAGATATGTGTTTTAAGCCAGACGAGGGTACCCCCAATTTGCCATGGCTGATCAAGATGAACTGGCCCTACATGCCTTCCTCCGGCCTTGACACCAGAGAGACTCTAATAGCATGTTCTCCCTGCCACACTAAGGCCCTGGAAGAAGCGGAAAGATTGGAAAACATCTTGGGCCCAGAGAGTAGAGTTACCCCAAGGACACAGTGGTGGAGACCAAGATCTCAGATGAGGTGGTCGGTTAAGCCAAATCGGAACAACGGCAGTGGACTCCACGACGCTCCACTTCGAGAGGTCAACGCCAGCCTGCCTGTGTGCAAAAAGGCCACATCGCTCACCACTGTGTCACCTCAGCCCTTGCCCACCCCTGAGTTGACGGGAAACGCCAGGGGGATGATGAAGTGAGGGGAACACCATCCCAGTCCCCTGACGCCCCCGTTAAGCCGGAACATCAAGTTGGTCGTTTGGGCCAGATGCAGGGCCTCTACCTTCCATGCAGCATCAGCAGTGAGGCCTGCCAGGCGTTGATTGACTCCCTTGTTCGGCCTGGTGTTCTTCCAGATACAGTGGGCCCTTCCCCTCCCGGCAATGACTCGTTGGAGCCAATATCCAAGATGACTGCATCCTAGGGCTGGATTTCCTGAGTCAAGCAGGGTCATGCCTGGGTGTTGGAACACGGAAACTCCAGATGAAAGACTCTGTGATGGGACTTCGGGCAGTGAAAGAAGACAGCAGCAGGTGACAGACAGCCCCACAAAGATCCTTCCTCCAGATGAGGAGCAGCTTAAGCCTCCCAATTTTAGTTGAATCACTTATTTTAATTTGGGGACAGGTTGAAATACACATGAAACATTAGGCCTTTGCACACTTCATTGTTCTTAGCCCCGGGCGATTTTAGCCCCAGGCTAGACTGGCCCTGAGCTAGCTTAGCCTGTGTTCACACAAGCATTTGTTAACTCTGGGCTAAGCTTTAGCCCTGGGCTAAGGATTCACACTTGTATTCCAAAGCCCTGGGCTAACTAACAAACACAACATGCAACCAACATTCTATCTCTGACACGCAACCAATGTTATAAGCAATAAGACATTTATTAACACATTATTTCCTCTTGCTTCTGGCCTAGCATTTGATTTCCAACAGTGATGGTTTGTATAAACCTTGCTTGTCTACCTGTCCGACATCGGAAATAATGTTTCACCAAAGAGTTCTATCTGTGGTTTCACTTAGATCTCACCCCTGTACAGAGAATGTTGTGAACGAAAAACATTTCTGATCCAGGCAAAATCATGCAACAATGTTATTATCATGGACATTTGCAATTAAATGTCAATAGAAAAGCTATGAAAATGGAGGAAAATGTAGCGTTTGCTGCCGTTTCAGCTATTAAGTTTGTAGCTTAAGTTGGCTAAGTGAAAAGATGTGAGCCAGCCTGCATAGCACCCATTTTTGTTAGACATAGCAACCAATGTTTTTGCACGGATGCAAGTATTTAGCTTTTTGGTCCTCAGATGGAAGGATGAAATAGTATGAATTGACTTGTCAAAACAACGTGCAGAACGCATTACAGGCATCACCAGCATATGTAAATTAAGTAAAAATGCCGCTTTTGTGATTGGACAGTGAGCATTCTAGGTGTTGTTCTTTACCTCATTTCACACTAGCTATTTTGGCACAGAGTTTCTGGGGCTAACCCCGTAAAGTCGGTGCTAACCCTGCTAGCCCTGGGCTAAGGTTGGTGCTAGGCTAGCCCACTTCAGTATGTGCAAGTGTGAACAGTCGCTTAGGCCCAGGTTAAAATCTCCCTTAGCCCAAGGAGGGTCTTAGCCCTGGGCTAAGGTGCAGTGTGAATGTGCCTATTCATGGACATTTAGTTAGATAGCTGTTACCCGCTAGTTTGTCCTGGGAGATGAACATTGCTCATTGGGTTGTTATTTTCCCTGAAATGCATATGGTCCTTGTGTTAGCTGGATCTTTGTAGGTTTTTGACCAGAAGTCATACAGTAAATGCCAACTTG